CAATGAAAAGTCAATAAAGTACAATGTACAGTATGAAGGTCAGGGAACAGTCATCGACGTTCACGCCCACCGCTGTCATTGGTCGAGAATTTTTTTACGTTCTTTGGCGGAATCTCATTGGATGTGAAAACCAGGAAGTAGGGGAGTAGCCAATCAACGGCATAAAAGTCCTTACCGGTGTGACAGCAAAGAGGCTTCCTTTCTGGAGTAGCGAGTTGTCAATTTGACATCCTCTTGATTCCTTTTTTTTAAGTTTAATTAATGAATTAGTCATTCATTTCATTCGGGCATATTGTAATCAATCATGGCTGCTTATAAATTAGTGTTGATTCGTCACGGAGAGAGCAACTGGAACCAGGAGAACCGCTTCTGCGGCTGGTTCGATGCAGATTTGAGCGAAACCGGGGAAATGGAGGCGAAGAGAGGCGGACAGGCCCTGAAAGGTGAGGAAGAACTTACTCATTTTGCTCCCATCATCCACTGCAATATCTCCGAAATACTACAGGCCTTAGCACCGCTACGATTGCATAATCGCCTCTGCAACAGATCAAGATACCGCCCCCCGAGCGTGTCAGGAATATGTGGAAGATGTGCAAACGTGCAGAAGTGATGCCTTTCTGTGGCTGCAGTAGTACAGGGCCATTGAAGGAGAGTTTATTTAGAGTTTCTCATTTAAAAAATGACGTGATAGTCTGCTTGACCCCAGAATAAAAATTTAAAAAGGATAAGGAAAAAATCCACAGCTGGTCAGTTTTGTTAAATGTACATCATGCATTTGGCCTTTTCTGTCTTTGTTACCAGGAGAACAGTGATAAATCACAGCAGAGACCTACAGGCCCACTAATCTAAATACACTGAGAGTAGCTTCAATAAACCACAATGCAATGTAGCCAGAGCTGAAACCATTAGTTGATTAATCAAGTAGTCAATTGCCAGAAAATGAATCAGCAAATACTTTGATAATCGATTAATTGTTTCAGCCATTTATCAGGCAAAAATGTCAAACATTCTCTGGTCCCAGCTTCTCAAAGGTGATCTTTTGTTTATCTTTGTCATATGTGACAGTAAATTGAATATATTCAAAATAAGCACATTGAAGACATCACTTGGGCTATGAGAAATTGTAAACGACTTTTTAACATTGCATAGACTAAATTGAGAAAATAAGCAGCAGATTAATTTATAATGACGAGTTGTAAGCTATTGCCATCAATGGAGCCACATAGCACCTTGTATTTTCAATTAAGTTGAGACTCAACTATCTTCATGGTATCTTTTAGTTTAATGCAACATGTGCAGACTTGTTATTGTGGAAAAATTAAACAAGGCTGAAAGAAACAGTCAAAGTATTTAAGTGTAATTTTCTTTTAACAGTTGCAGTCAAAATGCATTCAACTCTCTAAAGTGCCTCTCACTCTCTGTAACTTTGAGATGCCGGCTTTCAGTTTGACATTTGCTACACCTCCGTGCTGAAGCGGGCCATCAGGACACTGTGGCTGGCCCTGGACAGCATTGACCAGATGTGGGTGCCAGTGCATCGGACCTGGCGGCTCAATGAGCGCCACTACGGAGGCCTGACTGGGCTAAACAAGGCAGAGACGGCCGCCAAGCACGGAGAGGCTCAGGTGAAGATCTGGAGGCGCTCGTTTGACATCCCACCTCCCCCCATGGGCCCAGACCATGACTACTACACTATCATCAGCAAGGTAAGATATGATATCTACAGCATATATACACAACCAAGGAGCTTTGTTGGCCTGTGAGGAAAGAAATGCTTTTGTCCATATTGACCAACTTGATCAACTAACTGCACACAGGAATAACAAAGAAGAGGCATGACTAGAACTGATCTCTGCAGTTATGCCATAAAATCAGCTATGTCACTATGAATGAGTGAAAGGTCATGTGTCACGGTCTTTTTGTCCACAGCACAGTCAGCTGTTACTGTTTGGTAGCGTGTGCCCTAATGTTATTACGTAATAGTACGTCCAAGATGAGTTAATATATAACTGGTCTACTAAGTTCAAGTTCAAAGGTCAGTCAAGGTGGAAACAAACTCATCGGATATCTGTGTAGACAGCGGTATTTAGAAGGTAAGATGTAGTCACCCTACACTGGCTGGATAAGTGATCAGCAACATGTTAATGGTGTTATAAGAAGAATTAGGTAACTTAGGTAGCTGATTGCTTAATGCCTGCAAATGATAATGAACACGTCACTATATTGCTTACTTAATGCACATGGTCTCATAGATAGCTTTACTCCTCACTCACATAAATACATGTGGACAATAATGTCTTTTTATTCTGTCCTATTATGCATTTAACATTTTGTCTTCCCTGCAGGACCGTCGCTATGCAGACCTGACCGAGGACCAGCTTCCTTCCTGCGAGAGCCTCAAGGACACCATCGCACGGGCGCTGCCGTTCTGGAACGAGCAGATCGCCCCTCAGATCAAACAGGGGAAGAGGGTGCTCATTGCTGCCCATGGAAACAGTCTGAGGGGGATTGTTAAGCACCTGGAGGGTGGGTGGCGTTTTTTGAGTTTACACACAGAGCTTTGATTAATTCTTGTAGACAATACTCAATACTCTCACCACTGACTTTAGCCGGGGATGCCGTCTTGCTTTGGCAGATGTTTTTCATATTTCATAGCTTCTTAGCTGAAAATACAAGTCTTTTACTTGTAATCTCAATATTTTACAGTTTTCTAAACAAATGTTTTTAAGTAGGGACTGTCCATACTTTTTAACTGCTGATTGAAGTTTTTGAGACCAGCATGCACTTTAAATAATAATCTATGGAAGGTTACTTCCATTTTATTTTTGAAATATTAATATTGTAACATTATGAGAGTTATAAATGGTACACATAAATCTACACTTTTCAGACACTTTCACTTTGTCACAATGTTTAGGTACTTCAGTTTTATTACTGGTTTGTCTTCTTGAAAAACAAATATGGGATTTTTCAGTTGTACTTAAACTCTGTCACAAAGATGCAAAGTAGTCAAGAATCTTGGAAAGAATAGTGATTGCATATGGCATAAAACATGGTGGTGATCCAGTGAAAACATATTTATAATGAAAAACAAACTGTTCTTTTTGTATGTGCTGCCACCTGTAGGAATGTCAGATGAAGCCATCATGGAACTGAACCTGCCAACGGGCATCCCCATACTTTACGAGCTCGACAAGAACCTGAAGCCCTTGAAGCCCATGCAGTTCCTCGGAGATGAGGAAACTGTGCGCAAAGCTATGGAGGCTGTGGCTGCTCAAGGAAAGGCCAAGAAGTAGAAAAGAAGAACAAAAAAGTGTATGATAGTGTAGGATGTCCCTAATGACTGGCCTCAGATTAGTGTTTTTCCTAAATCTTAAGATTTGTTTTGGACTGTAATACATGATGAGCACGCTGTAGATTGTTGTCAAAGACAACCTCCCACTACTTGCACAGTACAGGGATAGTAGATGGTGAACAATTGGAGTATATTAGGATCAGGGGAGCCACAGCTCTCAAGAGATTGTAAATATTTTTAGCAAAATGGTCCATTAATATTACAACCTTTTTAGAAAAGTAGCACTGAACTGAATATAAGTATTACTGTAGGCTGAGATGATTGATGTCAGGGTAAATGGTAATGAGCCTAAGGAAGTTATTTGTGTCTGATCATAATGAATTCATAATTCCATTAATATTTAAATGGATGAATTAGAGTAGTGGAATATTATAGTATGTTATAATTTAATAAAAGAAGACTTTATTTACACTCAATGGCCATCTTAGATTTTGTATGAGACAAGAAATGGACCACTGCAGAAGGTGACAACTTATTAACTAATTTTTCAAAGCATTTAATTGATGCATTACACTGATAAAAGGATACCATTTTGCAATCTCTTGAGAGCAGGATGGGTCAGTAGGATGGCTAAACAGTCCTTTTCTTTTACTTTCTCTGTCTATGAATCGTATTTGTGAAGTGTCCTTGTATGTTACTGTCTGTGTTGTGTCTGACACTTTGTATTTTTCTCTTCATGAGGTTCATCATCACCTATTTAAAGGTGCCAAACACTGCATTACTGTCAGTACTGCACTGTATAAGTGATACAACCATTATTTGGATTATAGCCCTCCAGTTTACAGTACTGTTGTGAAGCATGATTAACCAAAAATAAAAGGTCTATAAATGTAATTATATTTGTTATGACTGCCTTTGGTCTGTCTGTCTTTTTCTTTTGGTGTCATAGTACTGATGTGCCTCCAGCTCCTTTTACTACATTGAATGCTCACAGGTGGCCTCACAGCCTAATGAAGTAGCAGAGGTGGTTTTAGGAAAACGGTCTACTAGGATTTGTTTTGAAATATTCCATTATGTCATAGAGTCTTAAAAAATGTAATTCCCTGTGTGCTGGTTGAATGTACCCTGAAAGCTCTGATGTAATACACATCAACTATGTAAAAATCTAATGTGTTTGTGTCTGCTTGTCTAATCTTGATGAGTTTTATTTTTATTTTAGTCTCTACAGTATAGTTGTCAGACAAAAACATTTTAGAGGTATACTAACATCAAGTCTAGCTTATGACCAAACTATTAACTTGAGTTGATTCATGTTTACTTACTGACCGAATTTAGGCAGGTTTTTAGCAGGTATTGGTGGTCAGGCCAATTTGTTATCAACAACATAAAGTAATGTGAGAAATGCTTACCACCCTTCATGAACCAATAATATGGGAAACTGCCAAAATATAAATGTAGCTTGTTTATTCTGATTAAAAAGCATTTACTTATAATTCTCCTCCCAACCACCTCAAATTGATAACACGTGATTTTCCTGTTGTCAGTGGAAGTGAAGAATCACTAAGTAGACTAGAAATACAGCCATATTTTCTAAATAGCCGAAGGTGGCAATAGAGAAAAGTCATTAAATTTGTAGAAACCTTTTCAGTGGAACATCCCTTTATACTGGATCACTGTTGGACTCCAAGTACCATAATGCAATTCGTGTAACGTTAATGTTGGTCGGTTCGGCGGCAGGCGGGAGAAGATCATAATGTTGAGATGACTTCAGCATTGAAGCCCTGAGTGCGTTATTGTAGCTGTCTGTGGTCATAGACAGCCTGCCTAATCCTCAAAATGAGAAGAACAACAGAAAATCAAGGAAACACTCGGTAAGAAAACCTGCGGACTTTGTTTGCACTCTGTTGCTAAGTTTTAAGTGTGTTAGCCAGCTAACGTTAGCTAAACAGATCACTTCCTGAAACAACGACTTACTAATATTAATTTTCCATATTTTTATTTTAAGTTAACCAGGCATTATCAAGAAGATCGGCATATAACGTTGCGCTCTGAAAATACGGAACGCTAGGTACTTAACGCTAATTACACTGCCATGTTGTTAAAACTATGTAAACATCCTTTATGTTTCCTTGCTAGCGTGCGTGTAACGTTAGCATAGCAAGCGTTAGCCAACGTTAGCTATGTTTTTCTAGTTGCTTGCATCAGCACTGCTCCATATTGATCGTTGTGTTAATGCTACATCTGTTTGTGATTGAGACTGAACAATAATATAACTAATGTCAAAGCGACATAACGAGCGACTAAGTTAATCCTCTGAAGCTTCAACGCTGCTGACCCATGTTGTCACCTAACGTAGCATGATGTGATTGGTGGACAGGCAGAAATTGACTAGCAGCAGGTGTCTTATGTCCGCAACTCGTGATAAGTCTGTTGGCTCTGTGACACTTTGGTTCTTTGTCTTGTTATTTGAAAACTACACTGCTAAGTTACATTATTGTCGCCTTGGTGACGAAACTAACGTTGATTATCAAAACATGATCAGTTTCCCCTCTCTGGCTTTCTTGCAGAACACTTTCAGAATACTTTTCTCCGAGGAGTAAAGGTGGGTCAGTGCCAGATCGTGCCAGATCCTGCATCATCAGTGTCTCGTAAAACCACATTGTGTTTAGTTAAAATTTGCTCCGTGATACTTGCGATAACGTATGCATAACTTAAGAGTTATGCATATATATGCATATATAAAATAATTTACTGTGTAGTAAGGGATGGCATGACTAGGTTTGTTTTTTATATGGGGTACCTTTAAACAAAAAACAAAAAAATGTAGCTTAATACAAAAACCCTTCTATAAATCCTACCTTCACAAAAGTTATAATGTTCAGCTTTGTTAAAACTGTTTTGCTGTTGAGTCAAAGTTGGAGTTGTGGTGCTGTTGAATTTAACTGAATTGAATTGTCTACCCCTTTTATGTCAATGAGTGTTGACAAAATATTACAAGTGTATATTTGCATGTTAAGATTTGCAAATAACTTTTTTTTTATTTGACTTGCCCATGTGTCCAGTGGACATATTATGTCTACAGTGCTGAAACACACCCTTGTCACTATATGCTATTTGAGTTTGTCATACATTCTGTTAGCATCAATATTGTATAAAATTAAATGCATGAAAAATGTATGATTTTGTTGAAGTCTTCCAGAGTGCATGAAAGTTCAGAGTCATTGATAAAATCATGTCGTTGCCACTTGTAATGTTGCCTGACCTAATTTAAGTGAATAATTTCAGTTAGTCTTTGTTGGTAGTGATCTCTAGCCTCCAGTAGAGCTTTGTTGGTGGTGAGGAGTTACCCTCCTACAAATGAGGCTTGTTTGTACTGCTTAAAACTGATAAAGTAAGAAGTAATGACAGATCTGTTAAACGTGCAAACGCTTAATTTCATGCTCTTATTAACCTTCAGAAAAACTAAATGATCTTTTGCAAATGAAAATATATGACAGTAAACCGCAAGAGAAAAGGATGGCAGAGCTGCAACAACAACAACAACAACATAACAATTCATTTCATGTCACTTGGATTTTTAAAAGAAGAAAACCAAAATACAAAACATTTGGTTGAGGAAAATCTATTTGGGTGGGCCATCGCAGTGAAATCTCAACATGGCAAACCATAAATCCAGCAACACCCAGCTCTAATTAAGTGAGGATCTTATGCCTTCCTCCTGGAGCAATTCTAAAATAAAAATGATGTCTGAACATTTATTAGTAGTAACAGAATATAGCCCAAAGAAGTGATGGCACTAGGTGCTAAAATAATGGAAAAAGAATAACCACCTTGTGTCGCGCAGCACAATAAAGAAAAATGCCACATGACTGATAGACGAGCCACAGCTATAGGCATCATGTACCCTGGCTGACAGGCGAATGACAACATGTCAAACCTGTTCACATATGACTTAAGACCATAATATACACGTTTCTTCTGTGTTTTAGTGAAGGATCTCGCACTCCAGCAGCGCTCCACACCGCATTTCACACCTTTTCTCCACGAGACTCCAATGAAGCCCTCTCAGGTCCCTAACCGGCTTCCTCACCCTCCACCCAGGAGAATGTTGCCTCTTCAAAGCCCTGAGCTATGCCACCGGGACAGACTGGGTCCACCACGGCACCCTTGTCCCATGTATCCACCAGGGTTTGGTCCAAGCAGCCCAACTAACATTGGGTACTCAGCGAATAGGCCCCATCCCATGCCCAGGGACAGACTGGGTCCTCTGCAGCACTCTGCTCAACCTCTGGGGTCTTTCTACCCACGAGTTGTACCAGTCAGCCCAACTAACAGTGGTATTACAGCTAACAGACTGCAGCAGTTACCTTCCAGTGTCTTCCACCCTACTTCCCCTCCCTTTATGAAAGATTTAAGCAACCACTCCCCGTCATCCCACATCCGGAGAGATCCAGTGACTGAATCCAAGATCACTTTGTCTCACTCAGGAAGTAAAAATGGAACCGCACAAAGACAAGAATCCATCAAGGTATTGTCTTCTCTTTTTTAATAAGACAATTAGTAAAACCTAGATTTGTTTTTACAAAAGGGTTTTGATTGTGACCTTTACTAAAGCAGTTATGTCCTGCTGAATTGTTGTGGCTTTTTTTTTTTCATTTATTTAGGCTCAATCCAGCGATGTGAGGAGTTCCATACAAACTGTCCAGCTCCACAGGCCCCCTACGGCCCCATCACTCAACACCAGAGCAGCTCAAGAAGTTTGCCCCCTGCCCCTCTCAGACTCAGAGCACTGGAGTCCTGGTAACAGCCAGTGGTCCTCAGGGGGCTACCAGCCTTCTCTGAGTACCCAGTCTTCTGACAGGGGTAGTGGTTCCAGTTTACCCGTCATGCATAGCCCTGTAGCACCTTGCAAGGTAAGGTTTATCATATGTGCTGTAAAACATCAACATGTTAACATCAGAGAACATGGTGTCTTGTTCTCAGCCTTGGTAATATGATTTAAATAAAGATACAGGTGATATAACCTTATAATCAGACTGAATTGCCATTTTGTTTCACATAACCATAATCACTGTAATTCAGTTTCACTTTCATTTGAGCTTTTTTCTGTTTGGAAAATGTTGCTATTTTGCCCCCAACCAATCAGTAGTAAGGGATCTATCCACCCCACCAATGTCAGTTAACACAGAAGCTGTGGTGGCAGTAGCTAGGAGCAGTTATCATGCATCATTGAAGAAATGTCTGTCTAAATAGTCCTGATTTTGAAGTTCACTTAGATGTATAGTCGTATGTATAGCTGATCTCATCCAGGGTTGTTGTCACCATTTCTTCTGGCTCTGTCACAGAAAGATGACGTCTCCATTTTTAATCCTGCCTATAAAGCTCTGACTAGCCTGGTGTTTTTTTCCCAACCAGGGAAACGGCCATCAATAGATGCAAGAGCAAGCTTATTAGAGCTGTTAGCATTGGAACCAGGATTCAGCTGGTTGGTCTCAAACTTGCAAGTCTTAGACAAGTTAATTAGCATTTGCCAGGTGTTTTGTAAGTCAACAGATAACAGTTAACAGATATTTATTTGTAACTGGTTGTCACTTATAAACAATGCAGTCTGAAAATGTTTGGCAACACATGACCCAGGTGTAACTTGGTGGGATGCATAGTAACACTATTATTGCTGTTGAACAACTAAACTAAAGAAAGTCTTCTTTTTATCTTTTTCTTTTTTAGGACCAACAACATAAACAAACACCTTCAAGTGAAAAGTTAATGCCAGGTAATTTTGTCAAAATAAATGACGTCTTAATTTATACACATATTTGTAAAGGTACAAATTTGAAGCTTTTGTAGTTATTATGAAAACAACCAAAGTTTAATAAAATTCAAACCCTATAGGTCAGTACACATTGCCTATTACTCCTTGCATGCAGATTTGAACAATGTTTTCCTCTTCCTGCTCATAAAGCTGTAATCGTTAACGTAGTTAGCATGTAATCTCGGTGGCACTACAGTGACGGCAATCATCGGGTGTAGAGTTTGGAAAGTCGTTTCTATTTTGTAGTTTGAATTCAGTGAAAATGTCACTGACATGTATGTAAATTCACTTTACTCAAATGATGAAGATGAATGGCACTGGGTTTGTCAGATGTTCTGGTGTGTCTTAAAAATTTGCATTGACATATCTCAGTAGCAGTATAATGATCATCTCCAGCAACAGTGCCATTTTTAACCACAACAGTGTGAAAAAACATAATTTATTGAAACATGAATTAATGTAAATATCAGCTCTACATTGTAGTAAAATTTCACTCAAACCTGCAGACATTAGCCTACGCTGAATATTTGGTGTTTTCATGTCTTTTTCTGTTTCCAGCAGTGGGCTTGAGTTTCTCATCTCAGAAGAGGTGCAGGGACTTTGAGGACTGTGACAATGGTGCCAAGAAACCGTGTCCTCAGGGTGCGAACTCTGGCAACTCACTCAGCACTGCACTGGTGTCTCAGCCATCCTCGAGGCATTCTTCAGTCTTGGAACTGTCATCCAAAACCACAGATAGCCATCTGTGCACAGAACCAGCGTCTGGCCTGTCAAAATGCTTGGAACTATCATTCGAATTTAAACCCACCCAGTCATCCTGCACATCACTGTCACCCAAACCTTGTATAAAGAGAAGACCACCAATGGGGGCAAAGCAAGCCTATATAAATTGCACTCAAAATCATCCTGTGAAGTTAATAGAGTTAAGGTCACCTACAAAGCCATGTGAAGAAAGTTTGAAGAAAAGAAGTGAGGAAAACAATAAAAGGGATAAATCAAGCTCTTTGTTCTCCACTGTGGGGCCCCAGAAGGACACTGGGAGCTCACCTCATGCTCATGTTCAGTTAGATAACCACCACTTGGGTCATTCTCACCATAGTACCTCAGTCTTACCAGTCAAGCGCTTGAGCAGAGGTAATCAGGTGGAGGAGAGCAGGAAGTCGGTCAGTAGCACTTGCAAAGCCGCCTCAAAACCAAATTCTGGTTCTCTGAGTTGTCGCACAGTGGAACGGAACAAAACTGCCCGCCCACGAAGACCTGTTGCTATCCCTAATGATATAGGTGAGCTTTTCACCCCTGATCCTTTGACGTATGTAGTCAGCCCTTCATCTAAGACTGCAAAGCCCAAGATAGATGAGGGAATGGTCAAATCCCCCACCTTAGAGAGAAGTTGTTCATCCAGCATTGTGAGCAGCTCTAGTACCCCAGTTACTGGATCCCAGTGTTGCAAAACTCAAAATGTCTCAGTCACCGATTCGCCTCATGCAGCAGATACCAAAGCCTCTTCTTTGTCATCAGCACGTCACC